TTACTTTAAGCTCTGTTTTTAGGTTTTTGGGAGAGAGAGATCTATCTCTTGAACCCTTGTTCTTTCTTTTCCAATTTCGGTTTTTTTGTTCTACTTTTTAATACTATGTTTTTGATTTTTTTTATCATGTCTGAGTAGTTTTATTGTTGGGTCTAAGGGATTTTCGATGGGGATATATATGTTCGGTGAGGATTCCATGAGCTATTGAGCCGAATCTTAGAACTTTTTCTTCTGAATTCGTTTTTACTGCATGAGAGTAGGGTCATGAACTACAATATGATCCAGATGCTTGGTGACACGAAAGTGTTCATCTGTTGTCAGATCTAGTTTGGAAGAGCAAAACAAACATAGCAGTGGAAACCTACCTATGGGCGATTTGTGAATGCTGATGAGTCTTAAACATAATGCACCTCTTCTTTTCCAGGGCCAGAATGGAAACCTACGGGTCAGGGTTAAGAGAGATAGTTGTTAATGATCACGACAGTGGCGTATTCATACGTCCGTGACTCCAGTTCGAAAAGTTTAAGCTAAGATCTTATCAAATTTACTCTCTAGCAATGTTTTGAATCGTTCATACCCCTGAGAAAACTTCCCTAAACCCCAACGCTTTCTTTCTCATAGATTTACACCGATTTTCATTCAAGCTTTAGTCTAGTATCTTTACTCTTTCAATCGATTTTCATTTATGTAATTAGGTTTAGCCGTTTTTCCGTTTTTACTCGTTTTCGTTAAGTTTAGTTATTAGGTCATTTTAATTACCGTATTTTCTCTTTAAGATTCGTTTTTACGTCTTAAACACACCACCAAAACCCTCAAAAAACTAGCCTGGTTCTAGAATTTCTTACTTTATATTTCTTTCGAAGGCTTTTGCAGGAAAGAGCTTCCTTCCTTGTAGATTCGATCCCTAAGTACTACAATCGATCAGCTGTGCACTTGCGGCTATTGATTTCAATTAGGATAAAACTTGACAACCCTCACGACACACCAACATCATAACCTCAAAAGGTAGGGACCAGTCTGGAGCCTGGACAATAGGTGCACTGACTAATGCATCCTTGATCTTCTTGAAGGCTCCTTCACACTCAGCCTCAAAGACAAAGTCAACTTCTTTACACAGCATCCTTGTCAAAGGTCTAGCTATTCTTGAGAATTCTTTGATGAATCTTCTGTAATAACCAGCATGCCCCAAGAAACTCCTTATGCCCTTCACTGAACTTGGAGGCTCCAAGTTTATCATGACTTCCACCTTAGCCTTGTCAACTTCTATACCCTTCTCAGACACCTTCTGACCAAGCACGATGCCATCTTGTACCATGAAATGGCAGTTTTCCCAGTTCAACACCAGGTTATGCTGCTCACATCTCTCCAAGACCTGTGATAAGTTAGAAAGACAATCGGAGAAGGAGGAATCATAGACTGAAAAGTCGTCCATGAAGACCTCCACCTTCTCTTCAATGATGTCAGAGAAGATATGCATCATACAACGCTGGAAGGTTGCTGGGGCGTTACAAAGACCAAAAGGCATGCGCATGTAGGCAAATGTCCCATAAGGACAAGTAAAAGTTGTTTTCTCCTGGTCTCTTGGATCTATTGTGATTTGGAAGAATCCATAGTAACCATCTAGAAAGCAAAAGAAGGGATGGTTGGCCAGCCTCTCTAACATCAAATCTATGAAAGGGAGAGGAAAATGGTTTTTCCTAGAGGCTGCATTCAGTTTTCTATAATCAATACACATTCTGTGTCCAGTTATAGTCCTAGTGGCAACCAACTCATCCCTCTCATTCTTGATAACTGTCATTCCCCCCTTCTTGGGCACCACATGAACTGGTGAAACTCATCTAGAGTCTGAGATAAAGTAAATGATCCCAGCCTCAAGGAGTTTGAGAATCTTTTTTTTCACTACTTCCCTCAAGTTAGGGTTCAGCCTTCTTTGGTGCTCAATGGATGACATGCTTTCCTCTTCAAGTTGAATCCTATGAGTGCATAGGTTGGGTGATATCCTCTTTATGTCATCCAAAGAGTAACCAATGGCTCTCCTATGCTTTCTTAACTCACTCAACAATGCATGCTCTTGCTCATCTAACAACCTATCATTAATGATGACATGATAAGATTCATTAAGACCCAAGATATCATACCTGAGCCCTGTTGGTAGAGGCTTGAGCTCAACAGAGGGCGCTTTGGACTCATCCCAATCTCTTTCCCAAGCTGTTTGAGAGGTTTTTTGTAGCTGTTCTCCTTGTGATACATCCTCAGCATTATTGTCTGACCTCTGAACAACCCCTACAGCCTCTTGAAACTTGGTTTCACCCTTGGCTGCCATGGTAATATCGACTGACTTTTGGTCGGTATAGTCATTCGATATACACTCGGCAGAACATATCTCATCACGCTGACCAGCCACACCGAGTGAATGTCCCTCGGTGCTGACCCTGTATGCTAACACCGACTGAATTTCACTCGGTGCATTTGGTCTGGATTCACTCGACGAAGTTGGCTCAAAATATCGATCACTCATACCGGCTGAAACTCCCTTGGTGCTGACCATGTATACTTACACTGACTGAATTTCACTTGGTGCACTTGGTCTGGATTATTCACTAGGCAAAATGGTTCCCTCAGCACCGAGAAAAATACCTCCTGAACTTTGGTCGATATGAATACAACCCCTTTGCATTTCTGAGCTTCTAAACTGGTCCTCTTCAACCTCTGATCCTTTATAGTGCAGGTTCAAGTAAGAACTGGTGCTCCCCTCCGGCTTGTGAGAATCTAACAGCTTCATGAACTTCAAAGTTTCATCCTCAAGATAGCCATGATCTCCATGTTCCTTTGTTAAAGCTATCTGAAGATGATCTTCTGTGTTTAACTCTTCTAGGAGCTCATCAGCAAGCTCATCCATGGTCTCAACATAGAAGACCTGCCCTTCTATTGTTGACTTCTTCATCATTTCATTAACATCAAACTTCAGCCTTTCAGAACCAAGTTGCAGCTCAATTATGCCTTCTCTTACATCAATGATTGCTCCTGCTATGGCTAAGAATGGCCTGCCCCAAAATAAGAGGGTCAACTGGTTCCTCATCCATTTCAAGAACCACAAAGTCTGTAGACACTTCAAATCCTCCTATTTTCACTGGTATATCCTCTAGCATTCCAACAGGCAACCTCACAGATCTATCAACAAGATCAAGTGAAATATTTGCTGGTTTAAAAGTTCTATACCCCAGTTTTCTTGCAATGGAGAAGGGCATTAAGCTGACTGATGCACCCAAGTCACAAAGACATCCAGCAAACAGCAAATGTCCTATAGCACAAGGGAGTGTGAAGCTCCCTGGATCAGTTAATTTCCTTGGAATTGACGACTTTCTCTGAATAATGGCACTGCACTCATGACTCAATACCACCATACCTTGAAGCTCTTTAGTCTTGTTAAGGATAACATCTTGTAAGAACTTACCCAGATTTGGCATCATTAGTAATGCTTCAATGAGAGGCATTGTGAGTAGTGTCTCATTGAGAGTCTTCTCAAATACTGCTCTTGCCTTGTCTACAAGCTGCTTCTTGAATCTCCCAGGAAATGGGAGCTTGGGTTGGTAGGGAGGTGGTGGAACATATAGCTTTCCTGGTTCAGGTTCCTTTTCCACCTCTTTACCCTTCTATTTCCTTGATTTTTCAGCAACTTGATCATCCTTTAAGGCTGCCTCTCCCTCAGTTTGATCATTGTCCTCAATGACCACATTGTTGTGCTCTAAACCTGGTAGCTCTTTGCCACTTCTCAATGTAATGGCTTTAGCATACTCCTTTGGGTTTGGTTCGGGCTTACCAGGTAATTGGCCTTGGTTTCTTGAGCTAGAGGCCTGATTTTGCTTCAATTCCTTGATGTCTTGCTGCATTGATGCATACTGACTTGCAAACATTTGTTGACCCTGAAGTAGCTGTTGTAGAATCCCAACCATATCTGACCCCATTTGTGGCTGCTGGTGAACTGGTGCTGACTGAAACTGATGTTGAACCGGCACTTGCTGCTGGAACTGTGGTGGACCAAACCCTGGTGGTGCTTTTGGCTGCTGCTGTTGTGAACTGAAACCAGAACCCTGAACTGGTTGCTGCTGATGCTGACTGTAATCCTGATTCTGAACAAACTGATGCTTTGGTTGAAAAGACCCTTGAAAGTTGTTCTTGGGAACAAATTTCTGTGGAGCTTGAGAAGTAGGGTAGACTTGGTCTTGTGGGTTGGTTACATTGGGATTCCTGTAAGAGAGGTTCTGATTGGCATTGGCATATTGATATCTTTGGAACCTCTGATTCCCAATATAGTTCAGCTCCTCCTGAGTTATACCCTCTTCATTGATGTTCTCAAAGCATTGAGAAGGTTCCTCAAACTCTCCTACAAAGTGCATTGGTTTTTGAGTGGCCAATAACACCTTGTCCAGCTTGCTTTCAAGTGTTTTAAAGTCTTTCTCATACCTTTGATCCCTGCTTGAACTCTCACTCCTATTGGTTCTATCAAAGTCTTCTCCATAGGTGTCATTGCTTATTGCTAAGTTCTCTACCAGCTCTAAAGCAGCATGAATCTATTTCCCAAGAAAGTTTCCTTTGATGCAGTATCCAGCTGATTCCTAATCTTTGGAAGATCCCCTCTATAAAGTGTGCTGAGAAGAGAAGCCTCACTAAACCCATGGTGTCGGCACTGGTTTGTGTAGCTCTGAAATCTCTCATACAAAGTGCATTGGCTTTTGAGTGGCCAATAACACCTTGTCAGCTTGCTTTCAAGTGTCTTAAAGTCGCTCTCATACCTTTGATCCCTGCTTGAACTCTCACTCCTATTGGTTCTATCAAAGTCTTCTCCATATGTGTCATTGCTAATTGCTAAGTTTTCAACCAGTTCCAAAGCAGCATGTATCTCTTTCCCAAGGAAGTTTCCATTGGATGCAGTATCCAGTTGATTCCTGATCTTGGGGAGAGCTCCTCTATAAAGTGTACTGAGAAGAGAGGCTTCACTAAACCCATTATGAGGGCATTGGTTTGTGTAGCTTCTAAATCTCTTATAAGCTTCACCAAAACTCTCATTGCTATGTTGAGTGAAGCTGGAGATCTGGTTTCTCAGTTTTGCTGTTCAGGAAGTTCAAAAGAACTTAGATAGAAATGCTTGATTGCACTGCTCCCAAGTTTGAATGGAGCCTCTTGGAAGGTTTGATAACACCGTATTTTGAGCACTTTTATGGATCGTTTTGAAATACTTTTTCTATGTTTCTAATTGCCTTTAAGTACTTTTATCACGTTTTTCTAGTATTTGTAGTTCCAAGACTCTTTTCAGGTAACTTAGGGAAAAGCTTAACAAAATGGATAGAAAACCAGATTTCAGCTCAGAGTCAAACCGTCAGAAGTTCACCCCCGATTGAGGGCCTTCTCACCGTCTGATCCAGCTCAAATTTGGAGATCTTAAAGATGGAAGTATCAGCTTTCCAGCACACTTTACAGCTTGGTAATCCAATAGTTCAATCAAAAGATATGCGAAGAGCAAGATGTCCCGTAAACCAGCCGACAAGCGTTTCCACCCGCGACAACCAGAGCATTTCCCGCGGTCAGAAGCACCACGACCGCGGCCAACCACCCATTTCCCGCGGTCATGATAACACCGGATTTTGACCATTTTTATGGATCACTTTAATATCTTTTACAGGTGTTTTTACTCCATTTTCAAAGGTTTTCAAAGGATATCTATGTCTCCGGATTTTAAAAGACTTTTCATGTAATTTGGGATAAAGAGGCACAAAATGGAACAAAAAGACTCTTTTGGATAAATGCAGACCGTCAGAACTCTCATGGAGAGACGAAGACCTTCTCACCGTCTGATCACCCTCAAAATTGGACAACTTGTAAAAGAATCAACCAGGTTTCAAATGCACTTGGTTTGGAGACATTCCAACGGTTGGATCTCAAGATATTTCATTAGCCCCGGAGCCATTCGAAGTCGGCCAGCAGCTCACGCGACCGCGGCCAACAAGCTGTTTGCCGCGGCCAGAAGCTTCCCGACCGCGGCCAACAAGCTATTTGCCGCGGTCACAACACTCCCGACCGCGGCAATCAATCTCCGACTTAAAGCCCACTTATCTGAAGCCCAAAGTCATTCTCAGCCTCAATTCCGGAACCCTAGAGACCATGGAGTATTGGAGACTATAAATACATGTCATTTAGGTCGTTTTTGGAGAGAACCATTCGTACTTTACAGAAACCCTTTTCCTTTAGCCGTTTTTATGAGATATTTGTAGAAGATTGTTCAAGTCCGAGTTCTTCAATAGAGAAGCTTTCTTTATCTCTTTTCTTTACTGTTTTTTATTACTTTTATTAAAACCAATGATGATGTCAAGCTCAGCCATGTCTGAGTAGATCCCGAGTTGGGCTTAGGGTTCCCAAAAGGGGCTCTCATAATCGATTAAGACATCTACGTTTATAGATCTGGGATTTCGACCTGTTCTCTGTTTATTCTTGTTCTTATTGCATGTATGCTTGATTGATCACCTAGTATCTGATCTAGATAGTTAGTGTTGCGAAAGTTTTCATTAAGTATCAGCCCTAGAATGAAACAGGCGATTTTTCCGTAAGAGTGGAAACCTATCTGCGGCGAGATCGTGAGTATTGACGAGTCTTGTGCAGCTCTTGCGTTCTCTCCCTTCCAGGGCCAGAGTGGAAACCTACTGGTCAATGTTGCGAGAAACAGTTGGTTATGATCATGACAGTGACGTAGTCATACCGCCGTACTCTAGCTCTAGAACCCATATGTCGTTATCTGTCAATCCCAATCTATCTACCTTAATGTTAAAACCGATTATGATCCCTTAGAGTTCCCAAAAGCTCAGCGTTTTTAGCCATAGTTTACAACTCCATCGATTTTTATTGCTTTCTTAGACCTGCGTTTCAATTTCCTTAGTTCGTTATTTACTTGCTTTATTTACCTTTCATGCGATATTTTACTTGCCTTATTTTTGTTTAGTTCGATATTTTACTTATTCCATTTGCATTTCATTCGATTTTCTTACCTGCTTTTTAGGATAGATTTATTTGCTTTCTTTTGTTTTAGTTTAATTCGAGAAAAACAACCAACCTTTAAAACCAATTTAGTCTAGACATAAAGTTAAAAACCGTAGAAGAATACCAGGCACACAAATCTCTGTGGATTCGATCCCTAAATACTACAACTGATTAGCTGTGCACTTGCGGCTTTCATTTGTTTTGTTAAGGGTAAAACTTGTTCCCTCATACAGTTGATATGACATCAAGTTTTTGGCGCCGTTGTCGGGGATTTTTTTCGCTGCCTTTTGCTATTTTTCTTGTTTTAACTTCTGTTCTAGACACCTGATCTCTAGTTCTTTCTTAAAGTTTTTCTGAACTATGTTTCCCTTCTTTTGTTTTTCTCTGAATTGCATGAATACCAGGCGTAGACCTGCATGAGACATTCCAATTCTAGACGAGATAGACAGACACGAAAGAGAACTTCGAAGATTTAGACGAACGCAAGGAATGGCCAACGACGACCAGCCTGGAGATCCTATTAATCGAAATTTAAATATGGACCAAGACGGGTCCGAACATGGAGAAAACGAAGAGAATGATCACATAGAAGATCATCATGCTCGACAAGATGGAGAGGAGGATGAGGCTCCTCCAATAAACCACCAGAACCGAGAGAGAGAAGGACGTGAAGACCTTGATCCACCCATCAATGCAGCCGATGGTGACCATCCAGCAATGCAGCCGAATGAACGCATTCACCGCCCCATTCCGCCAGCAAATCAACACCGAAGACAAGCCAGGAACCATCGCATAGCTGATTTTGATGCACCTACTCAAAATTTTCAGAATCGATCTGCGATTCAAGTACCATTTCCAAACCGGAATGAGTTTGAAGTCAAGCCTCAAATCATCTCATTGGTGAAGCAAAACCAGTTCCATGGAGTTCCTTCTGAGCATCCAATGGACCATATCAAGATTTTTGAAGAAATTCGCAGCATGATGAGAACAAACCAAGTTCCACCTGACTTTTTAAAGTGTAAGTTGTTCCCTTTTTCACTAGCAGATAAAGCTAACCATTGGTTGAAGTCTTTGCCTGCAGGATCGATTACTAATTGGGAAGAATGTAGAACTGCTTTCCTGAACCACTTCTACACTAAGTCAAGGTCGAACAATTTGAGAACGAAGATCTCAACCTTTCAACAAGGGCCAACTGAATCTTTCTATGAAGCTTGGGAACGTTTTAAGGAGTATGAACGTGATTTCCCTCATCATGGATTTCATGGATCAAGCCTGCTGAGCACATTTTATCGAGGTTTGCAACCAAAATACAAACTTTCACTTGATACAGCTAGCAATGGAGACTTTGGACAAAAGACGATAACTCAAGGAAGAGCCCTCATCGAAAATTTGGCTCAAGCCAATAGCAATGATTGTCCTGAATACGATCGATCGATGAAGCAAGCCGGAACAGACAACAAGGAGATAACCGAATTGAAGAACATGGTGAGCCAGCTTCTGAAGAGCAACAATCGCCCAATCCATGCTTGTGAGACCAACAATGGCGCAGAAGATGAAGGACCAAGTGATATCGATCACATTAATCAAGCATTTCAAGAAATAGACGTGAAATACGTAGGAGCACTGGTGCCATACCAAAATCGCTCCAACAACAACTTCAACAACAACTTTCGGAATGCAAATTACAACAATCTCTCTTACCGCAATCCAAATGTGGAGAATCCTCAAGATCAGTACTACCCACCTCAGCAAAAATCCTTCCAAAATAAGTTTCAAGGAGGAAACTTTGGAGGAATAGTACCATATCAATCGCGACAACCATATAACTACCAAGGTACGGCTTTTAATAATTAATTTGTACAACAGCAGGGAGTCACAACGAACCAGCTAGATTCACAAATCGGTAGACTTGAACAGTCCATCCAACAACTCGTTATGACGAACGAAAAAGCATCTAAGGACGTGAACGTGAAAGTGGACTGCATGTACAATGATCTGAATGGTAAGTTTGCATCTTTATCTTCGCACGTCAAAAAGCTAGACATGCAAGTCGCCCAAACAGCAGTTTCTATGAAGAGGCAAAGTGGAGTTCTTCCAGGAAGAGTTGAAGATAACCCTAAGAAGTTTTGCAACGCCATAACCACATTGCCCGAAGAAGAGGCCGGAACCGATGGAAAGAAAGAAGAAACCCCAATCTTTGTACCACTGTACAAGGATATCGATCCCAAGCAGCCACCGTTTAAGGTACCTGAACGATCACCGTTTCAAAGGCCTACCAAAGCCGATGATCCGGGACGTTTTGTTTTCCAATGTTTCATTTCAAGAATCAAGTTTACAGACTGCTTGTGCGATTCCGGAGCCAATGTCAACATCATGTCTAAGATGTTTGCCAAAAAATTGGGCATTAAAGCCTTAAAGACATCAACGGTTAAGGTTATTTTTGGAGATTCATCTCAAAAAGATACTGAAGGGGCGATTCCTGATCTACAAGTTCTAGTGGGAGACAAGATTGTTCCAGCAGATTTCCAAGTCCTGGAGATGGATAAAGACAAGGAGAGGCCACTCATTTTTGGGAGACCATTCCGAGCTACAGTAGGAGCAGTGATCGATCACGCAAACCGACATGCCATTTTCCTCAATGTGGACCGAAAAAGGTACTATCCTACTATCTTAGATGAATTTCCAAACAAAGGAAACAAACCAAAAGAGAAAGAAAAGGAAAAGCCGAAAGCTTTTGCAAAGATCAAGATCATCATTCCACCGGATGCAACAGAAACTAGTGAGGACCAAATCCAGGAGCTGATCGAAAACACAAAAAGGGTTTTAAACAATATTAAAGTCCGAAAGAAGAATAAAGGTAAGAAGACGGCTCCTCAAGAAGAAGAAGTAAAACCTCCAACAACCGGAAGTGATAAAGGCACATCAAGTGGAGTGCCATTCAAATCAGCCTGATTCCTAATGCCTACGTCGAGCTAAACGACTTAAAACAAAAGCGCTTAATGGAAGGCAACCCATTTAGGTACTCTTTCTTTTAGTTTTTTTTTTCCTTTTTACAATTTATGCTTTCTTTTTCTTTTT